GATCCCATCGTTCCTCACCACGATACGCCATCCGAGACGACGAGCAATCTCCGTTGGTCCTCAATCAGAGGCCGATGCCTATGAAGCATTGGCATATCGTGAGAAGCGCAGGCGGGAGAGTCTCTCCAATGGCCATAAGGCTACCCCTGCCACTGCCACCGAGGTTGGCTACGCTGGTTCCTCCGCCAGAGAGGCTCAGCCACCGAAGCTGTCAAGACGGCCATCCAAGCTCAATGACTATGAGCACATGATGGGCACGGGAGCTCTAGGTCCTGCGACGTCTCTTGACAATGCTTGCCAAGCGGACTTATCCACTGTCCCCTTTCCCGATTTCGATGCTGGATTCGAGGCCGATGAAGAGGAACTCTTCGCGCAGATCAAACGCCCGCGCGTACGCTATGATGTAGAAGTAGTCACAAAGCTGGTGGTGTATTCTGGTAGGTCCTGCCAAGATCCCTTTGAATCATCGCTCCCGCGACTTCGCTTTGGCTAAGTGTGCTGACAATTTCTGGATCGAAAGGAATTGCTTGGATAGTTATGGAGGGGGCCCCCCTCTTGTTCTCGCAAATTGGCCTTGCGGCCTATTAGCACGATGATCATGGGTGTAGTCCCGGTTTGACTGTGTCTCCTGGTTCAGTCCAGCACATCGGACTCTACACGTCCGCGATGTAACATAGCTGACATTTCTGTTACTGTATATACGATTTTACTTTCTCTCTTTTTTCTTTACCTGAGGCATTTTCAAGCACCTTCCCAAGCAAGCAAGGCCTATCCAAGCACCTCTCCTATTAAGCAAAGCCTTGCTAACAGCTTCTGTTGCTTTTCCGCAGACTCTCATGTATAATCAAACGAATTAACGTGATTAGAGCTGTATTTAGACCCAGACTTTTCAGTTTAACATATAGTTATAAGAGGCTTTGGAATCAAGTCGAGTCGTATTGTTCATCAGTATTTCAATATACAAAACCGGCCTTCTTTTCTGGTCCACTTCGTGGTGGCGGACCGCTTCTACGTGACCGATTCTACTAAGAAGTACCTAGGTAGCGCTTCGCAAATTGGGAGGATTTTGGGCCACTGACTTTTCCGGTTCGATCCTTAACTTATCGTGAAGATAAAGGGCCATCATCGCGTTCGCGGAGTGTCAATCTTACAATAATAGCCAGTTTACCTTGTACTCGTTGGTAGCTTCGAGAGATCTTGATTGAGAGGCTGCTAAGTGTGGCCGTTCCGATCACCAAGACTCGAGTATACGTATATGTATAATTTCACGTGATCCTTTCCCCGGAGGGAGGGTCAAGCTTCCGGCGCTAAGCCTCTCTAAGGTTGAGCATACAATGGCGGGCGGGCGGGCGTCGTCGGGGTACGTACGTATTATTAGTTAGCTAGCTAGCTCGGTCTTCCCAATAACTTCATATCGCGGCTGTACTGATTCATTCACTCCTCACTCTTTCCACCTGCCCCAGTTGCGCCCACCACATTCACTGGACCCCACGCCTTCCAATGTAACACCCATTTGCACCGCGACCTCAGTGAATATTTTGGCAACAGTGTTCCTGCCATGGCGATGATCGTGTTGTGATTGCGCCTTCCCTTTTTTTTTGTTTCTGTTTCTCTTCTTCTCCCTCCCTCCCACCCACCCACCCACCTCTCTCTCTACCTCTCTTCGTTTCTCTCCACTTCCTCTTCACACAACACAACACATCACATAACCGTACTCACATCACTGCTTCTATCACCGAACTCACATTGCTTCGTTTATCACCAAATTCACATCACTGCTTTCATCACCGAACTCACATCTCACTGCTTTCATCACCGAACTCACAACACTCACAATCATATCACTCTGCTGACATTACAATGTCTGGCCCTCTCGATCCATTCGCTGAATTGTGGCAGCACGAGGTAAGCTTATCCGCCCCAAGGATAGAATAATAACTTCAGGACTAACCGAAGCCTAGCGCGAGCAGATGTCTCGACTGAACCCCCCCTCTAGGCGTCTTCCTCCCGGTTTGTCCGATTTCAACATCTCCGCTCAGCCAAACTTCATGCGTGATAACACCTCACTCCTCGCCAATGGGCCTGGACCCAAGCTGGGCAATATCCATCGTCCCAGCCGGAGCGACCCTGACTGGTTCCCAACAACAAGCCGGTACGACAATCCTGACTCACCTCTATTTCGTCCCACTGCACCAGATTCGGCTGGACCTTCAAGCAATGCATTTGCTCCACGTCCATTTGGTGTTGATGAAACCAGCACTTCGCAAAATGTACTCGCTCCACGTCCATTTGGACTTAATGAACCCAGCACTTCGCAAAATGCGTTCGCTCCACAACGCTTTGGTCTAAATGAACTTAGCACTTCTTTTGCTCCACGTCCATCTGGACTTAATCCACCCAGTACTTCGCAAACTGCGTTTGCTCCACGAAGCTTTGGTCTTAATGAACCTAGCACTTCTTTTGCTCCACGTCCATTTGCACTCGATGAGCCTAGCACTTCGCGAACTGTATTCGCTCCACGTCCATCTGGACTCAATGAGCCTAGCACTTCGTTTGCTCCACGTCCATTTGCACTCGATGAACCCAGAAATTCGCGAAATGTGTTCGCTCCACGTCCATTTGGTCTCAATGCATCCAGCACTTCGCGAAATGGATTCGCTTCACGTCCCTTTGGTCTCACTGGTGAAGCTAGCACTTTGGACAATACCTTTTATCACAGTCGGCCGAGAGTCCAACTTCACCCTATGCCTGGCACAGAAGAAGAGAAGTTTAAGAAGCTTGAGGCCACATTTTTGGCCGGCGAAGGGCAGGATTCCTCGAGTACCGCGACTCGCAAGAGACCACTAGAGATATCTGACGAAGATGACGAATGTCCTTATAGACCGCAACAATCTCAAAACACTCCGTACGGTCTAACAATTGCCAAGTCATGCCCACCTCTTGAGCAGAAGGAGGCAACGGACCTGCATACTTTGGTTTCAGATACGGCACGTATCGAACATCCCTCGCATGAGTTTACTCTGCGTGTTCCTACTACTCCCCAAGTCCGTCCACCCGGCAGTTGGCCGGAAAGAACCTCAGCAGCAACACGGTTTGCCGACCTCACTAACAACTATGTACCGGAGCAAGCTCTTGACCCTGCTTCAAGCTGGGCTGGGTTGACAGCGCGCTTGACGCGTCTCGTTGGTAACAACATGACCAGGCGTGCTAACAACACCGCTAGAGCTGTGCGTGGTGTTGGTAACCACATCACCCAGCGTGCCACCAAAACCGCTAGGGTTGTGCGTGTTGTTGGTCATGATATAAGTCAGCGTGCTACCATCACCGCCCGACGAGCTGTGAATGTTGTTGGAACCTTCAAACGTCGCATTCAGCAAGTACTCCACAGAGATACAGATGAGCATGGTCCTGAAGATCACCGAAGAGGACCACCTGCCGATTCTGATATGCCGTTGCTTGACGCGGCTTCTGTTGTTGATGATGCTTTGAGTTCAGATGTGATGGATGCCACTCTCGAGCCGCTCCATCCTGTTGATATGCCGTCGCTTGACGCGGCTTCTGTTGTTGTTGATGATGCTTTGAGTTCTGATGTGATGGATGCCACCCCCGAGCCGCTCCATCCTGTTGAAATGCCGTCCCCGGCGGACGGTATTTTCGAACTTGTCGAGATTGATTTTAGTGGTTTCAACTTTTGGTCTAGCCGTTCCGATTCCTCAGATACACCCAGCTCTGGTTCGGCCACCAAGCCCAAGTCTTTGAAACGTGCCGCACCCGAATCTGAAGACACAGTCCACCCTTCCAAGAAGTCCGAGACCCGAGCTCCGATGGCCTTCTCTCCCCTTCGCACACGCGGCTCATTTGTGCGTAAAATGTTTCCACCTGCTCACGTGGGGAGTCTTGCAGTCGCAGAGGCAATAGAAGCCCATCGTGCAGGAGATCCCATGCCACTCAAGCGCATCAATTACAGAAGACGAGCATATTTTCTCCCATTCATTCGCGTTCCTTCCACCGAGGTGAAGGAAACTGCTAGCCAAAGACCCAAGACGGCACAATCTCAAGAGGTGAAAACGAAGAGTATTTTGAAGACCAGCAGTAATGCTGTGGCCTCATCTTCGAAGTCTTCTGTGGTCGATGCGACTACCGTCAGCTTTTCTGATGCCAATCATGAAAAGCATACGCCAAAGCCGAAGCCCTCCCGCAAGGTTCACTTTCCTAACTCGCCTGTGACAGGCGAGCGTATCATAACACCTCGCAATGCGCCTGCTGCCCCATGGACACCGTCACCGTCACCGTCACCGCCAAGGGCACGAATTGGACATCTCCAGCATCTTCTCGATGCGCACGCGAGAAATATCCTTTCCAGCGAAGAAACCGATGTTAAAGCTATTACCGATGAAGAGCAAAAGGAGAACATTGCTCCTATGGCTCCTGATACCACGTCCCGCGATTTGATGAGCCCTGAAGTTACGTCCCGCGATTTGATGAGTACTGAAGTTACGCCCCGCGATATGTTGAGCAATGAGTACATGAGAACCGAAGACACGAATATCGAACATGTGAATACCAATCAGACGACTGCTGATGAAGTGATCAGCCATGAAGGTAGATATGTTATTGCACAGGAAAGCAATATGCTCTCGCAGGATCCCTCTACACAAGAGGCAGAGCAACACCCCATGGGTCGAGCACTTTCTGCGGTAAGCATGTTCTATCCTACCCCTTCCCCTATCCCGGTTGGCAGGACTGAGTCTCTTCTTGCCAAAAGCTGGAGAGCGACCGTGGCGGAAAACGAGGAAAAAGAGGGAAAAAGAAGAAGGCAGAGCCAGCAACGCCCACCCGCAAGAATCCTCCTCGAGCGGCCCGCAGTGCGACCCCTAAGCGCTAAGTGGATTAAACGCCTTGAAGACACCATGACTGGGCCACCGTCGAGGAAGGTCGCCACTACACTTTCGGGAGAGACATTGACGACTCGAGATCTGGCAACCTGCTATACACCGTTGGAGTGGCTGAATGACGAAGTGATCAACGCGTACATGGCATTAATTATCGACTACTTGCGAAGAACCAACAACAACTCTGGGCGGCATGACAAGCCGCGATACCACGCATTCAATTCTTTTTTCTTTTCCAATTTGCGAGACAAGGGATACGAGTCTGTCCGCAGGTGGGCGACACGGGCCAAGATTGGAGGCAAGGCTCTCCTCAACGTCGACACGGTGTTTGTGCCTATCCATGACAAATCTCACTGGACACTCATCGTGGTCAAGCCGTGCGATCGCACCATCGAACACTTCGATTCCCTGGGGGGGCTGAACAGGCGCCATGTAAATCTCATCAAAACATGGCTGGGGGGGGAACTGGGGGAGGGATTTGTGGAGGCGGAGTGGAAGGTGCTGCCGTCCCTGTCTCCCCGGCAAGACAACGGGTCCGACTGTGGTGTCTTCCTCCTGTCGACGGCGAAAGCCGTCGCCATCAACCTGGAGCCCCAATCCTATGGGGCTCCAGACTCCCCACTACTGCGACAGAAAATAGTGGGGGAGTTGATGAATGGAGGCCTGGACGGGGACTTCAATCCCGTCCAGGGCCGGGGGGTCATGCTGTGAGTGGTCGCGGTCAGCACTTCGACTGGCCACTTGGGGCGGGGATGGCGGCACCGGGGGGGAGGAGAGGGGGGGGGCCAAACAAACGAAAAAAAACCAAAAAAAACCAAAAAAAACCAACAAAAAAAAAGAGAAAAAAAGAAAACCAGATGGAAAGTGTGGATAGGGATGAGCAAGCATGTATGATTAGCGTTCGTCATGTTATGAGGTCTTGGTTGCATTGGGTCGGAGTCATGTTTGTGAAGCGAGTTGTTAGCGTCTGTTGACTGTTTGTGTTTTGTACGGATACCCCGTCAGTTGAAGCCCGAGCTCCTGACATGCGTTTGTTTCTGAGTGTGGAGAGCATGAAAAGAGATGGGGATGCTTGATGTAAATAGCAGGCCTGTGTTCGCCGTGCGTCGCTCATAATACCTCGGGCGACCACCTCTACAATGACACTATCTCAAGTCTACTTTTTCTCTTCCAAATCAAGGTGCACAGTAAAGAATGTTCTTCATGTCTCGGTAAGAATAAGGCTATACAGCTATGAAAGAGTGCCCAGCGATGCTTTCATTGATCTACCCAACAAGGTCTCCGACAGTGGGTCGATGGACCAACTGACAACGGTCCTCTCGTCTCACGACCATCCTCTTGGTGATGGCGTAGTTCCTCCACTCGCGACTGACTCAGGCCCATGGCCGCGAGATTCAGATCTGGTCGATAATGATGATGATGACGATTTTCCTTTCTACTACGCCAGACGGGGACATCATCCCCATCCTTGCCACCCCAGTCACTTCCCTTCTGCTGTTCCAGGGACGACCATGACGCCAGTAACTCCGAGGAAGCAGACGCAGAAGCGTCGACAGCAGCAGCAGCAGCAGCAGCAGCAGAAGAAGAGAGATTATAGACCAGCTCCATCCACTCGATCCCGAGGTAGACCGACTCGCCGACGCGCAGGTCCCCCGTCCACTCCCCACCGTTACTCCACAGGTTGACGACGATGATGCTAGGCCGGTCTGGCACGCGATACCGCTTGACGGTCTGCAAGGCGTCGTCCGCATACCACCGCGACTCCGTCCGCAACCAGTCCAGCCGGTGCGTCGTCCACTCCGTCCAGGGCCGCGTCAGGTTCACGACCGCGCTCGCCCCGGGGATGATCCGGTCGTGCTCCGCGTCGTAGTCCGGTTGGTTGGCGTAGTGGATCGTGAAGGGACTGTCGGTCGTCAGGATCTCGATGTCCGATTCGCAGATCGCCGAGCGGTACGTGAAGATGCCCGCGCAGGTGCCGCTGGGAACGGCTCTTTGATCTGGGCGTACGGGGACGGGGAGGGGGAGGGGCAGCGGGCTGTTGGGTGGCGGGTAGGCGAAGTTGGGTTTGTGTTTGGGTTCGCGTTCGCGTTCGGGGTGGAATGGGTGGTGGTGCGCGGTGTCCCGCGACATCAGGCGCATGTGGAGCCGGAGCGAGCAGTGGTCGATCAGACCGAATTGCGATTCGATCTCCGCGGTCGATACGTGGTTGGTGAAGCGTGTCGTGCGGAGGACGAGGAAGCTTTTGCTTGTGCTTGCGCTTGCGCTTGTGCTTGGGGGTTTGGTTTGGGGAGGAGGATGAGGAGGAGGGTTGGCTGAGGGCAGGGCGTGCATGAGGAAGACGTTGGATTCGGAGTTGGTCATGGGGATTGGGGAGAGGAGCGGGTCCGCGGCGCGGTGCCAGGTCTGGACGTGCCAGTCTTTGCTGAAGGGGGTTTGCGTGAGGAGGCTGTGCGTTGTGTATTGGGTGTCGGTGTTGTTGGTCTTTGGGGTGGTTGGGGGGAAGGATGAGGGTGGGTGGAACTGTTGCGATGCGTTGCGAAAGTCCCATAGCTTGTAATGCGTGAAGTAGCCCGGGTCGGGGCCGGAGATGAGGTAGCAGTCGCATTGCTGGGGGTCGATCGGGGTGCTGGTTTTAGGTGTTGATGCTGTGGTCCAGCGTGCGTTGCTGAGTATTGTTATCAGGGAAAGACTGGCGTGGATGGAGGTCAAGGAGAGTCGCATGGTGGCGGTGGATGTGGAGGTGGAGGAATAGGAAGGATGCTGAAGGAGTGACTGCGTGGGGTAAGTATAGAGCTGCAGACTGCAGACTGCAGATTGTCTGGCGACGAGGTTGTTTGGTGGCCTTTGGGATTGATATCTATGCGGTTATGATGGACATGCTTGTATCTACTCGGACATGACTTCCGAAGGCAGGCGCGGAGTGTTGGTGCAGTGACTTGCCGCATGCTTGGAGAATTATGATGTAGTTATAAGCTTGTATACAGCCACTGTGCTGGGGCAAGATAGTTGCAACATTTAGAAAAAAACATATCGCGATATTGGTGGCATTTGTTGGTAGGTCGGCCATGGAGTATATAAAGTGGCCCAGTTTGTATGGAGATCGATGCCCCCTCGGAACTACAGCTGCACCCCCCACCGTTTGCATGCGTGTTTCCGTCTCTGCTATGGCCGGTGGGACTGTAAGAACCTAGACTTAGTTATTGGTTAGACTATAGATGCGTTATATAGCTCGTGTCTACTAAGGTTAGTGGTCTATGACTACCGACAGGCTTACTTCAAGCCAGAGCATTTACACTATACCACCGGGCTTAATAGGGCTCGTATCCACGCCTTTTTAACCTTAGGTTCTGAGTAGCCGTAGGCCTGATCAAGCACGAATCAATATAGCTGTTGAACCTGAGGCCTGATTATCTAAATTCGTGGATTTAGTTACGTAGCTACTGGTAGACCTGCTTATATAGCTGTTAAAGGTTCAATCTTATACAGCTGTTTGAGGTTGTTCAAATATCTTTCCAAGCACCAGTTTAATGTACTGTAGATATATTGGTGGTGCTGATTTTGAGCTACGGCCTGACACTATGGGGGGGGGTCTTGTACTATCATCCGACGAAGCACAAATCATGTGACTACTTTTTAGGGACACTAATCAGGTTGCTTAATGTTGTACGGAGTTTCAGCTAATCAATCAGTGTTCGTCATCCTGAGTTGCGAAGCGCTCTTCGCGAATAACCAGCGTCAGTATAGAACGGGAATGATACAGTATGAAGTCAGTATGGGAACGGCGTAGGGCCTGTGGTTGCACTAAGCAGCGGTAGATACGAGAGGCAGCACAGGGCTGAGCAGCCAATCTGCAAGCGGAGACCCCCTCCAAGGCGGCGTGGCAAACATCATCTCTCCTCTTAGTGATTGGCAGCAGGCAGCAGGAGGCAGTCAGCTGCAGATTGTAAGGCCTGCCAAGGGCCTGCCAAGCTCCCGACCTCCCGTTCCATTGGTATTGTCACCCTCCGTACCATACCGTTCACGGTGCATGGCCATCATGACGATTTCTATCTTCAATCCCAGCCAGAGACACACCAATTTGATCTGGTAGATGCGACAGCGTACCTAATTTAGCATGACTGCGAATGACTCAGGATATCGACTTAGCATCATCAGTTTCCATCCAGGGAATTGTGGTCAGTTGGTGCGTTGGTGACGAGGATGAAGGAACGAGGGGTCAGGCGCTAGACTGGGTTGGGAGAATCAGCCGGCGGGTGCCACGAAAAACGAAGCAGAGTAAGCCAACCAAGGGGGGTTGCGTTGCAAGATCAGTCCTACAGTCAGTCCTACTCCTTCTCTCGCCTCGCCTCAACCCATCCCGTCTCCCTTTCTTCTATCATCATCTCCCCCCAAACCCACCCACCACCATATTCTTCATCATACCCTGTGAATTTTATCTTCACAACATCCCAAAAAGGTAACAAAATGGACCTCTTGTGAATTTCGGATCGGAAGGAGACCCAGAGCACCTCGAAGCCCACACATCATCGCCCACCATTAACCAGTTGTCACGGTCGGCTCCCGACCACCCCTTGAATTCGCCATGACCACTACCCTGGAACGCAGTCTTTCTCGCACCTCGAGCATGTCGATACCGGTCTCGAGCCCGAGGTTATCTCTCGTACATGAATCCACACCCCCAATACTCTCCGATCCCACCCTGTCTCATATTCACGACCGCTTGACTTATCTCGACTCTCGCCTTTTGGAACTTCGATCCAGTGTCTTGACCAAGGATGGCTACGTCGACAGGCGTAACCGTGAAGACGAACATATTCGACGCGAATTCGAAGCCAACCGCTCCGTCTCGAATCGAATCGATCTGAACGTTGTCGCCCTGAAAACCGACGTCGACCAGTTGAAGTCGGGGATCTCGCAGCTCAAATCCAGCATCGGCCAAACCGGTAACGAGACCGTCTTCCTCCGCAGCGATGTCGACCGTTTGTCCAAGAACGTGGACCAGATCCAGTCAGATGTCGAACATCTGCAGACCGATGTCTGTGGATGCCGCGTCGAAGTCAGCAAGCTGCACGCTACGATCAGTCAACTGCGTACCGATTTGATCACTCTCCAACATGAGACGTCACGCCATCTGACGTCCGTCTTCAATCGGTTCTCTCTAATCGAGTCCCGCATGAAGCATTCGGAGCGGGTTCGATTCAACTCGCTGGCCCATACCACTCACGCCCCGATCACGCCTGTTCCCGTAGTGGAAGACGACGGATCATTACAATGGCCCGAATACTTTCCTCGTACTGTATGGCGGTTCTGGTGTCTTAAGAAAAGAAGTAGGAGTAAGTGCGATTGGCAGGTGAATTCCCCGCACTCATCTAACAATGTTCCTAGTCAACCGCTTGGTTCAACTGGCCGACTTCTACCAGCTTGGCGGGTATGAATATTGGGGCCGTATGCACCAGACAGAGCCTGTGTACGCCACCGCAACCGACAGCGACTCGAGTGACTCGAGTGACTATCCGTCCACTCTTACACGCGCGGAGGCTGTTCGTCTGTATCCTGAGGCTGCGCATCAGGCGCTGGCAGCAACGCTGGGGCTGGTTTATTACAAAATCCGCAACGAAGTTGGCGAAGGGATGACTCTCCACATTCGTCCTCCGAAGCGGCAGCAAGAAGAAGTTGCTTCGGCAGCTTCCAGTGCGAAGGAGAAGCCGGTGAAGATGCCTCGCCGACCGAACAACATGTCGCCCACCACTTTGAAGCGGCTCATTGATGGCCCATCCTTGGAGGCCAAGTCTTTAACGTCTGAGGAATCAGACAAACTGGGATGGAACGCTCACTCGGAAGTTTCCGATGATACCATGAGCAAGCTCAGAGGCATCGTGTCGGAGGAAGTCGGTACCTTGCTTCGAGCGCTGGAGCGCGGCCGGATTAAGCTCAGGTCTACGCGCCCTGAGCAACGGTCGAATGTCTCGCCCTCGGAGATCAGGTCCACCTTCCGCAACGGCAAGATTGCTGATGACGAACGAACCATTCCCGACACTGTTGCCACGGAGGTTGTCTCCGTCTCTTCAGGTGTTCCCGAGAAGGTGGAAGAGCCTGAGCTTCCCGACACTGCATCCGATGCTACCAGTCCATTGACTGGGATTGAGACTTGAGGGGCTCATCACAGCTACGAACAGTATCAGCAGGTTCAACTCTTCAGCCACACTTCTAGAGCCTATACCCATAGGCTCTACCTTGATGACCGTCCATTGGACACTGGTTTTCTCCCGAGATAACGCACTGCAGTTGTGATTATCTCGTATGGATTCCACACTCGTTCGTACCACGGAATACGCGCAGATTGCTTGCTCTGAGGCTTGACCCCTTTCTCAACGTCTTGGGTGTCGTGGCCTATGGGTAGAGGGGGTGTGGTATCGTTGATAAGCCATTCGATCTTCAAGGAGATCATTGGTCTTGAAGGGCCGATGCCCACAAAAGAATGTTGATTCGCCCATCAACATTCACGCTAGTTAGGAGTGGCAACGGCCCAGCTCCTTTGATTCACCTTGTCGAATCTGGGTACTACGTCTGCCAGTACAAGCGCCCTACTCGGTGGACCAAGCGGGCCGTGTAACCGGCCAAGTAGCAGTAGCCTTGTTGCTACGAGTGGCTGAGCGTCAGCCCGATCCTTGGCTAGATTTATGTTGTACCCCCTCCCTACCTTGACCAGGTTTCTGGAAGGTGTACAGCCTGCGCAAGCAGGCTTGGAGTGCCCAAGGGATTGCCTACAGCGTAACCTCATGACATGTTAGATTATTTTGTTTGGCATCATTGGTGGGAGTTATTGACCATCGGACAGGTCTTCACCTGGCCGCAGCATTGAACGGCGTTTTTGGATTTCGTTGGGAATGATTGCTTAAAGATACCCATGCTCTGTATTGTGTTTTTTAGCGATACTTGTTCTGATTCATTGAGCAATCAACTGATCTCTTGATTAACAAAGACCTAGGCTCGATCCGCTCCGAACGGACTGAGCCGAGTGTGCTACCAGACGATTCGACAACGATCGATCCTCCTACTAGAGGGTGCTCGCGGTTGATCCTCCCACCCAGATAAATTCCGTACAATCCTGCAATTATGGATCAAGCTAATAAGCAGCAAGCATGCCATATCGATTGTTATAGGCGCCCTCATGATATGCAACTATGGCTAGGTAAATGTTTCCCAATCCTAATCTATGACAATGCCCCCGATTCCCTGTCATCCTGTCCTAGACCTGCATCACATAAGCGTCGTCGGCTCGAATAGATCCTTCTTGAGCACTTCCAGGACCTTGTTCTCGTCGACATTCCCCAAGTCGATACCGGCAGGGGCCGGTTGATCGACCTCCGACTCCGTCGGACTCGCGCTGTCCTCGTCCACTGGCGCGT